GAATGGTCCCCCATCAATGAAGAACTGCACAGGAGTCACAACAGACTGGTGAACATCCTGGGACAAATGGAACCAGGTGTGGCGCAGGATACTTGACAACCTGCGGGAACATTTCTAGGTGCCGACCCGAGGCGAATAAGATGATGCTAAGTGAAGGGGACCTGGTGCTGGTAGAATCCGAGGCGCCGAGGGCATACTGGCCTCTTGGCCTGGTAGTGTCACCCACCCAGACAAGGCGGGCGGTTGAGAATGGTGAAAGTGAGAATGAACGGTGTCGAGACTATAAGACCCATCAAAAGGCTTTTGCCTCTCGAGGTCCACACGGTGGGACCGGGACATGAAATCAGACCCGAGTTGAGCGAGCTAGCGGGCCCGGACGCCCTCGAACGGCCTCGAGTCCAGGGCCACTGGGGGGGCCTGCGGGAGGCAGACTTGATCTAACTTAGCGCCTAACCTCCGCCGCGGGAGGATGGGAAATTTATTTGGTCCAAATAGTTTCCACAGCTCAGATCCAGCACGGCGTCTGGTCTCTGAGCCGAGCGGCCCTTAAACCCCCCAAACACGCATTCTCTGGGGCGGTTGTAAGCTTATTTAAATTTATAGATTTACCTTCAGGAAGTAGGAGGTAGGGTTACTGGTAGTACCTCTTATTAGTTTACTAAGGCATCTGTAGATAATATAAGTGGACCTAAGACCTTAACATAGGTAGTATAGGCCGATAATGTAGGCAAACTTAGGATAAGGTTTAGCTAGGGAGAACTGGCACCCTAGCTTGAATGGCGGGGCGCAGGTCACAAAAAAACAGAATAGCGTCCTTTCTTACGATAGACTTCGACTGGACAAGACGTGCCGTGAACATCAAGGGGGGCCCCCCCACGTGTCCTTTCACATCTGAGACCTGGGGGAAAACTGGTAGAGAACCTCGATTACCGTAGATGATCTCCTCCATCAGCCCCTACAGTAAGACGGATATTCACCTTTTCCCGTAGGATCTGGCCAGTGACTTAGGAGATTGTGGGTTGAGTTAACTGAGGGCTCGGCATGCTACAAGAGAGTATGCCCAGTAAGTACCCGTCTCAGAGTCGTCTGAAGCTAGCGTCTGAGTCTGCATAGTTATACAGGGGATACATACCCTCTTGGATATAGGAATTTTTGAGGTGCAGGCAGGACACTAATAACGATTGAATATTGCAGGAATTAATGCTCCCGGTTGCACGTGGTTCCCAAGGGGAAGTCCAGGGGCTAAAGCTAGGCTTAGGAAGTTTAGATCAGGATATATGCTGCAAAACCAAGTAAGTTAGTTCTTTATACGTGCATGCAGGCGAGGTTTCTTGCAATACCAATATTTGTGAAAATCTGTCCTATAAGCCACTTGTGAGGCTGAGGTACCCACCTCAGAGCTCGGTGTCAACGAGTTTTCCAGGGTAGGCGACTCACTTTGGGGGCAGTCCACACAAATTTTCACATGTTCCAAGAATTCGGTCATCGTTGCCGTACACAAGTGGTGAAACATTTAAGTTGACTGGATGAGGGCGTTATCGAGTTATAAACGAAAAAAAATGAAAAAGCTACCTGGGGGGTGTTTCCAAGGGTCAACGCCCCTGCGGCCCGCCATGACCAGGCCTCGTGGTGTATCGGGTTTGATCAACCAGCTGTTACTGCTGGTTGCATGCAATCAATCCAACGTACGGACCACAGCCCGGCAGTCAGGTACTGACTAATGTTTGTCCAGCTCCCCCTTGAAGACAGCCAGGGGTCTTTTGGTAGTCCCCCCCTTTTATATGCTGGGAAACATTGAACAGTCTTGGGTCCCTGACACTAAGTTGTCCCCTTTTGCTTATTCATGGTGCCACTTATTTTCATTTGGGGGGAAAGTTACTCTGGCTGCTAAGTCTTAATAATAATACTAATAATAAAAACTTTGTATCTACAAGTACATGTACATGTACAAGGTATACACGCCTAGCTGACATCAAAGACATACTATATAAAAAGCCGCTTTTTATGCAGAGCATTTCGGGCAAATTAGGTCAGTTTTGTCTCCAGGATGCGACCCACACCAGTCGACTAACACCCAGGTACGCACTACTGCTATGAACATGGACAGCAGGTGTCTTAAGGGAACACGTCCTAATGTTTCCACCAGTATTGGGGATCGAACCACAGACCTCAGTGTGTGAGCTGGGCGCACTAGGGAGTGATTTCCATGTGAAGATCTTGGATTAGTCCCTCGATGATTTTCCATGTGTAAATTATGAGGTATCTTTTTCGTCTGTGTTCCAAGGAGTACAGGTCAAGGGACTTCAAACTTTGGAGGAAGAAAAAAAATCAGGCACCTTCTTATTGTTTCTCCTTTGGGGATACGTAATGAGTCACAGTGATTGGCTTTATTGGGTTATCCTGGCTTATAACCCATCGGGGGTAATATAATCAAAATAAAGCCGTTTTCTCCCCTTTTCCTACGAAAATCTTGAAAGAAAAAATTTAGGCATCCAGACCACGGTACGGGTGGGATTGAACTAAATGCGAGTGAATCGTAAAACTCCAGACCGACGCGCTAGCTACTTATTGCAGCCAGCTGGCCCAGTGGCTAATGCGTCGGGCTTTTCTTTTACAAACCACCGCGAGTTCAATTCCCACCCGTACCGTGGTTCGTTTGCAATCGTGTCGTTACGACTTTTTTAAGCCTCCAGGAATGCCATTAAAGTGCTATTATAATACATGAAATGAGCTCAGATAGTATAATAGTTCTTAGCTTGTAAAATAAACTGTATAAAGCAAAAGTATCCGTATAATGCGATGCATCTAATAATGATATCAAATAAAAAAAAATTGAACCTGTTGACTGATAGATAAACAGGATCATTTAGAGACGCCCTAAGCCATCGTTAATGACACGATATCTGTAACTTTTTTTATTGAACCCACAAATTTCATCGGCCAGATGAATGAGCTGTTACATGACGATATTATAAACTATTTCATAACCCGTAGCAACCAGGTGTGGGAATTATGAGGCTTCGGTAAGCCTCCACCAACTCCAGGGTTCTGGAGCTGAGGTTTACACGGCTCCTCAAGCACTTATCACCCTTAACACCAACAATAACAAAGGTTGTTAAGTGTGTTTTGCTTGTTAAAAATCTAGATTTATAGCAGAAACCACGCGTAAACTTCTAGTATCGACAAAAAAATAATCTCAAAAACAATAGGACATTTCAGGAAGATTTTTTTTTTTATAGAAGTGAGGGTAATGTTGACAAATTGAGGGAAATGGATACCGGTGTGTTCGCTTAGGACACCTTTGTTTAAGGTGTTTCCACCCACGATTTTTAGTGTATGTAAGTAAGCAAGTTTATTCAGGTATACACAAATACAGTTACATAGAATTATCATACATAGCAGCATATGTGTAGAGAACCTAGGATAACCCAAAAAAGTCAGACAGAGTGACTTATTTCCATTGGGGTCCTTTTCTGATTTTCTTGGATTATCCTAGGTAATCTATACATATGCTGCTATGTATGATAATTTATGTAACTGTATTTATGTGTACCTATATCTGAATAAACTTATTTAAGGACTGACACGTCTTCATTGAAGGTATTATTGAAAGCATTAGTGTCCATTTTCCCAATAAGGGTAATGTTAATTTTTTTTTATCGGTGATTGGTTTATGAAATGATTCATCTTAGGTTAAATCTCATATCATGTGTTCCCTCAACAATGATATTTTTTTTAATTTGTGGTGTGTATGCAAAGCCTACTTAATGCCTGGAGTATACCTGGAGAGGGTTCCAGGGGTCAGATAAGATAAGAAGATAAGATTTTGTTCGGATTTTAACCCCGGAGGGTTAGCCACCCAGGATAACCCAAGAAAGTCAGTGCGTCATCGAGGACTGTCTAACTTATTTCCATTGGGGTCCTTAATCTTGTCCCCCAGGATGCGACCCACACCAGTCGACTAACACCCAGGTACCTATTTGCTGCTAGGTGAACAGGACAACAGGTGTAAGGAAACGTGTCGGAATTTCCACCCGCCGGAATCGAACCCGGGCCCTCCGTGTGTGAAGCGGGAGCTTTAGCCATCAGACCACCGGGCCCGGCCCCTGTGGCCCGGTCTGTGACCTGGCCTCATGATGGATCAGGGCCTGATCAACCAATGGAAATAAGTCACTCCGTCTGACTTTGTTGGGTTATCCTAGGTTCTCTACCCACATGCTCCCCTCAAGGAAGGTTCCTTGATGTTGGTGAGGGGCTCTTGATTTAGGGAATTGGATCTGTGCTCCAGTTCCCCGAATTAAGCCTGAATGCCTTCCACATCCCCCCCAGGCGCTGTATAATCCTCCGGGTTTAGTGCTTCCCCCTTGATTATAATAATAATAATAATACCCACATGCTGCTATGTAAGATAATCTATGTAACTGTAGTTGTGTATATGTACCTGAATAAACTTACTGTTACTGTTGGCTGCACACAACCCGATGTACGAACCACAGCCTGGCTGGTCAGGTACTGACTTTAGGTGCTTGTACAGTGCCTTCTTGAAGACAGCCAGGGGTCTATTGGTAATCCCCCTTATGTATGCTGGGAAGCAGTTGAACAGTCTTGGGCCCCTGACACTTAATGTATTGTCTCTTATTGTGCTAGTGGTACTCCTGCTTTTCATTGGGGGGGATGTTGCATTGTCTACCGAATCTTTTGCTTTCATAGGGAGTGATTTTTGCATGCAAGTTTGGTACTAATCCCTCTAGGATTTTCCAAATGTATATAATCATGTATCTCTCCCACCTACATTCTAGGGAGTACAGGTTTATCTCAGTTACTTTTATTTACTAACTAACATTTATATTTTTGGAATGAGAGTTTAGTGAAAGACTAAATTACAGAATTTGAAGCATGAAAATATTTTTATAATATATAGGTAATTTATCAATAAAGTGCATATTCACTATTTTTTTTTCTTTAAATTAATTTGATATAATGATTTACATACCTTTCAGATGCTTCGTTCAGGGCTGCAGGGTCTGGCTGGTCTTCACCTGAGCTGCCCAGCTTGGGCTGTATCCCGAGCAGCTCCAAGAACATTGATTGGCAGTCATGTGGAGAATAAAGCGTGTGCTGGTCCTCTGCTTCAGCAAGTTCGAGTCAGTCACTATAATTTTCTTTGGTTTTGGCATTCACTGCAGTAATTATTTAAGTAATGTGAGCTATTCGCTTATAGAAGTCATTAGTTCAAAAATTATGTATAGAATAAACAGCATTTCATTCTAAATTTCCATGAGGAAGATAAACTTTTCATATTAAGAGAATGAGAAATTTCATTTATACAAAACATGAAAACTTGTTGTTTCTTTGTATTTTTATATTTTAAATGCAGCTTGACTTTTTTTTTTTTTTGACATATTTTACATATTTGTATTTACTCTGCAGGGAGAAAGTAAATTGCCAGAAACAAAGGACTAATTACCCCGTTTTTTCTGCATGTACAGTAATAATCATAAAAAAAAGAAGGAAATTTTAAAGTTGAGTTCTTTAGCTGTACATTGTTGCAATAAGGAAGTTAAGAAAGGATTATTGTTGGTGTTATGAATGAAAATGAGCTAAAATGGTTAGCATAATTTGAATAGGAAGGAGTTTAGGAAGTTACATTGAGTATATTAGATGAAATTTTGAGTGAACTTCAGTACTGTAGACACAAAAAGGTAAGGATGTAATATTTGAAGAGTCTTATGGTTTAGAATGAAAGTAGATAATGGCATATACAGTGGAACCTCCACTAACGAGTTTAACCCTTTCAGGGTCCAAAGACCAAATTTCAAAGTGTGCACCAGTGTCCAAGAATTTTCAAAAATAATTTTGTTATTTTTTCTTATGAAATGGTAGAGAATCTTTTTTTGAAGGTAATAAAACAAAAAGTACGAAATTTGATGGAAAATTGACAAAATTATGCTCTCGCGAATTTTGATGTGTCAGCAATATTTACGCATCAGCGATTTTGCCGACTTTGACTCCCATTTTAGGCAATTATATTGCTCCAGTTGGCCAAATTCTTAGCTATTTCACTAATATTACTTCTATTCTATCGATTGAGCACAAGAAATCGCCAAGTCAACCATTTCAACTATAAAATAAAGTGATCGGAAATTGGTAATTTGGCCAATTTAATGCAAAGTTCAAATATTCTAATTTCAAAATAGGGTCCAGAGTAAACAATGCAGGCATTCCTGGCACTAAACTAACATTTCTTCTGTTCATTAGTTACATTTTCAGGCTTTACAAATGAATTCCATTTTGATTTTTTATTCACATAATGAATTTTTATTCAAACCAAAAAATAGAAGATTTACTGTTATGCAATACGTACTGTAATGATTGTATAAATAATATCACCACCTTTGTGAACATATATTAGACCCACCAGCTGGTGAGTATTAGACGTGTGAGATCATTTGTTTACTCTTGAACATCGGCAAAAATTTAACATTTCTGCTATTTTGAGTTCAGTTTCAACTCATTTCCATTACTAAAACCAATCAAGGTCATCTCTATTTCTGTAATATATCTTCCATTCTATCAAATGAGACTAAGAAATAGCAGATACAACTATGAAAAACATACAAAAAAACACTGCAAAGTTCCTGCTTTAATCGAAAATTAGTCTCAGTTTTTTTCTCTCATTATTTACTATGTGCTGCAGGATTTGTTTTATTGGTGCACACATACCACATAGATGTAGTATTCTCTCATATCTAGGCCCAAATTTACCGCTCACAGCTTATCAGAGTGAGCTGAGCTCATGGCATAAATCTATGGTTTGGACCCTCAACGTATAGCCGTAGATCTACGGCACGGTCTCTCAAAGGGTTAATCCATTCCGTAACCTTGCTCACATCTGGATTTGCTCATTTGCAGAGTCAGTTTTCCTCATTTAAATTAATTGAAATGGAATTAATTCGTTCCAGTGGAATTCCAGACACTATAAAATAGTACATGTACTTCAATAATTTCCCTAATACGTATCAACTCTACGGTTTATTTATCTATCACAATTCATCTAATGACATAATTAGCAATATAAATAACATAGAAACCTGATATATACTCTAGAATGAATAAAATACAGTGGACCCTTGGTTTTCGTCGATCTTCGTTATTGTCGATTTTAGTTTTCGCTGACTTTTTCCGTCAATTTTTTGGCTTTGGTTTTCATTGATTACCTCTGTTTTTGTCAATTACCTCCATTTTCATCGATCGTACGGAACTTGTCTAGTCCCCAGCGCACAGACAAAGCCGCCTCCCTCACGCATTCTCAGCCAGTGTAGTGTTGTTGCTCGGTCAGTGAACATATCCTGCCAGGTCATACGAAACATTTCATAATAATCTATTGTTTTTGCCACTTGTTTATTGTGTGTGACTGCTAAATAAGCGACCATGGCCCCAAAGAAAGCTCCTAGTGCCACTGCTTTGGTAAAGAAAGTGAGGAACACTGTAGAACTGAAAAAAGAAATCCTAAGAAAATATGATAGTAGCATATGCATTGCTGAACTCAGCAGGATGTACGGGAAGTCACCATTAACAATCAGCTCCATTGTGACAGAGGAAAGAAATCATGGAAGCTGATGTTGCGAAAGGGGTGAATGCAATAACCAAACAGAGATCCCAAACAATTGAAGAAGTGGAGAAACTGTTGTTGGTGTGGCTCATAAGAACATAAGAAAGAAGGAACACTGCAACAGGCCTACTGACCCATGCGGAGCATGGGTCAGTGCCCACCCAGTCTGGTCACCTCCACTCAAGGAAGGAGCACGGCATAAGACCCAGCAGCACAAGCTAGTCAGGTCCAACTCACACCCACCCACACCCACTCTTGTATTTATCTAACCTATTTTTAAAACTACACAACGTTTTAGCCTGAATAACTGTACTCAGGAGTTTGTCCCACTCATCCACAACTCTATTACTAAACCAGTGCTTTCCTATATCCTTCCCGAATCTGAATTTTTCCAACTTGAAACCATTGCTGCGAGTCCTGACTGGAAATTTCAGCACGCTATTTACATCCCCTTTATTTATTCCTGTTTTCCATTTATACACCTTGATCACATCCCCCCCTAATTCTACGCCTTTCGAGAGAGTGCAGATTCAGGGCCCTCAGTCTATCTTCATAGGGAAGATTTCTGCTACATGGGATCATCTTTGTCATCCTCCTCTGTATGTTTTCCAGAGCATTTATATCCATTCTGTAATACGGTGACCAGAACTGAGCAGCATAGTCTAAATGAGGTCTAACCAAGGATATATAGAGTTGAAGAACAACCTGAGGACTTCTATTATTTATATTTCTAGATATGAAGCCAGTTAGCAGAAGATAGTGTTGTGCAGTCCATTATTTGTGAAAAGGCAAGGCAGGTGCATGAGGATCTCATAAAGAAACTGCCTGAAACAAGTGGTAATGAAAGTGAATTCAAGGCCAGCAAAGGCTGGTTCAAAAATTTCAAGAAGCGAAGTGGCATACAGTGTTGTAAGGCATGGTGAGGGTGCCAGTTCAGACAAACAAACGGCTGAAAAATTTGTGCTGGAATTCAAATGTTCTGTAGAGCCTGAAAAATTCTAACCCCAACAAGTGTTCGGTTGTGACAAAACAGGCCTCTTTTGGAAGAAAATGCCAAAGAGGACCTACATCATGCAGGAGGAAATGGCACACCCAGGACACAATCGTATGAAAGACAGGCTAACTCTTCTGTTGTGTGGTAATGAAGCCTTTACTCGTGTATCACTCTGAAAATCCCAGAGTGTTCAAGAAAAATATTGTTGTCAAGAGTAAATTGTGTGTGATGTGGAAGGCAAACAGTAGGGCCATGGGTCATAAGGGAAATTTTCCTGAAATGGTTTAATGAAGTGTTTAGCCTCAGTGTGACAAAATACCTCCTGGATAAGAAATAAGGCACTCCAGTGCCTCCTGTTAATGGACAATGCTCCTGCTCATCCTTCAGAATTGGAAGACTAATTGTCTGAGGAATTCAGTTTTGTAGCAGTGAAGTTTTTGCTTTCTGACACCACTCCTCTCCTCCAGCCCATGGACCAGCAGATTATTGCAAACTTCAAAAAACTGTACACCAAAGTAATGTTTCAAAGGTGCTTTGACATAACCTCAGACTCTGAATTGACCCTAAGAGAGTTCTGGAGGAATCACTTCAATATCTTCCACTGCATAGGCTTTATAGATAAGACTTGGCAGGGAGTAACTTCCAGGACGATGAACTCTGCTTGGAGAAAATTGTGGCAAGATTTTGTCCAAAAGAAGGGTTTTGGAGGGTTCGAGGCTGACCCTGTCGACCCTACACCTGTTGTGCAATCAATTGTGGCATTGGGGAATTCCAAGGGGCTGGATGTGAGTTTGGAGGATGTGGAAGAGTTGGTGGAGGACCACAGTGAAGAGCTAACCACTGATGAGCTGCACTGCAGCTGAGGAAATTTCTTCTTCTTCAGAGGAGGAAGAGAGATGGAAGAAGGTGCCTTCTTCAAAGATTAAGGAGATTTGTGCAATGTGGACTAGGGTGCATTCATTTGTGGAGGAACATTACCCTGAGAAAGCTGTTGTAGTCTGTGATGGCGACTTTTACAATGACAATGCCGTGTCCCACTTTAAGCAAATCTTAAAGAGACACCAGAAACAGACCTTTCTGGACAGATATTTTGTGCGACAGGGATCCAGTGACTCAACCTGGTCCTAGTGACAGTAAAAAAACAAAGGGGAATAGTGACCCAGATAAATACTTGGTACCTAGAGTCCTTATGGAAGGGGATTCCCCTTCCAAACAATAGCCTACTTCCTTCTCCCTCCCTGCCTTCCTTTCAGGAACAACAGCCTTCAATAAATGTAAGTGTCATGCTTAATATTCATTCTTTTGTGCATGTAAATGTATATTTAAGGTAATAAAAATTTTTTTGTTGATACTTCTGGGTGTCTGGAACGGATTAATTCCATTTCCATTATTTTTGATGGGGAAAATGGTTTCTGTTTTGGCCGATGGCTCTGGAATGGACTAAACATGAAAACCAAGGGTCCACTGTATGTTATTATATATGTGGCGTTGTTGGTGGCCAACGATAATTTGTCTGGAGACTTGACAAAATACTCCTT